GGCCTGTAAACATATAATTTTTTCATTATTATCATTTAATATGTAATAATATTCTAATAAATTAAATTATTATTGATAATATTAATCTTTAATTTCTTTATAACAAACAATTAAATACTCAATTTGGCGCGCGTTTAATTTTGCTCGTTTAAATTAAATTGATTAATTTTATTTTTTATATAAAATTATTCGAACTATTCGAAATTGGAACTAATGGGGTTCATGCATACAATGAGCATTAGGATAGAAAATGTGGGAAATGAAGAAAAGTGAACAGTGCGAGTTGACTTACAAGGTCAGGTGAGTTTTAGGTTATTACAACCTGTCACCAGGGTGTACCTGACGGTGATACGCGAGGACATGAATTATTTCTGAACAAACATTACTCGCGGGATTTACTCTCCCCTGACCCCTTTACTCTTTATGTGTGGTGCTCTATGATCCTATGTGGCTACATCAAGTTATTCAGTATATTCCCTAGGACTACGACATATTCTCCATTGTTGAGTGTGAAATAGCAGAGAAAGGGATGACGGCAAAAGAGAAAGAGAGAGAGAGAGATACAAAGAGAGCACGAGCGACTATCGCGAAACAATGCTCTTCTACTCCCTGGACGATGGATCTCCAAGTTCCAGCAAACTTGGATTTTCAAGAGATAGCCTCTCTTGGGCTTTCAGCGAATAAAGAGAATTTTTCGGTTAGTTTGAAAAAGCAGTAAATAAACGTTATATTTTCCTTTTTTTTTTTTTTTTTTTTGGAAAAAATTGAAAAATTTTTTAGATAGAAAAAACCTTATCGAAAATCCTAATTATTTTTTTTTCGCAATAAACGCAGGTCGTAGCAAAAAAAAAAAATAATTTTTGTAAATTATGTTTATATATGCGCAAAGAAAATATAATCTTTCATAATAATTTGTTTCTTGGGCATAAAATTTTTTTTTAATCTATCGAGATAGCTGTTGCTTACAACTCACGGCCATATATGCGCTTATCTACTTAAGCTGTTGTCATCATTTTATTTTTCTAAAAACTTCGAAGAATAAAAAATATTGTCGTTAAAAAAAAAAAAAAAAATATCCGAAAAACGTGATTTTCCGTAAATGCCATTTTAATCTCTAATTTATCTCTATACTCGATTCGTTAAAAGAAAATTCTTTTTAATTAAAAATAAAAAAAAAAACTGTATATAGGATTAATTCACTTTATATCATTATTTTATTGTTATTTTATAATTATTTTAATAAATTATTTCATTTTGAATAAATGTGTCAGTAATAAGAAAAATACGCGTGTAATAAAATAAAAATCATTCGCAAAAATGTATCAATTACACTGGAAATTAAATTCCCCATTTTTGAAATTTAAATATTTATTTCAACCGTCCAAACATCGTTTATTAATAAAATTATTATATATAAAAAAAAATCCCCTTTATTATTCCAGTTCGCAAAAAACATATATTCATTATTTTTCTCTTGTTTGTTAAAATAATGAATTTAAAAAATTCATTAATCAACGTGGAAAAAAAATTTCAAATGTTGAAAATGAACTTATTTTTTAAATAATTACGATTCATTAACTGATTGACATTTTAATATCAAGCTAATTAAAAACTAGTATAGCAAAATCGAGATAAAGAAACAAATATACTAAAAGAAAATAATAACTAAAAAACAAGATAAAAAATTTAATTATGTTAAATTGTTAATAAAGCAATTTTGAAATAGTAATTTTACGGTATTTAAAATTTAGCGATAAAAAAAAATTTTTTTTTATATGGATTAACAAAAGAAAATGGTGCTGATAATAAAATTAAAATGGAGCTACACATGTGGTATGACTATTTCGTGCCAAGTAAGTATATAAAGTGTAAACTACGAAATTTTATTTTTACAGTTATTTACGAAACCGCAGCACCTTGAGTATAATTTCAAAAAGTTATTACGCGCACGTACAATATTTTGCACACTTGACCCAACAAGCGCCAGACCGTCGATTTATTATTATTCCTAGAAAGATGATTACTGCAGATATTACATTTTCACAATAATATATATAGAAAGTGTTAACTTTATATTCTCAAGTATCATTGCACAAGAAACTTTTTCATAACTTTAATTTTCATTCAATAATTATTACATATAAATATATAGGATAAATTATACTGGAAAAAAATTTTACAATTAAAATAATCGGTTACTTGACTATTATCAAATAAATATTTATTTGTATTAAATATTATGAGTTTTTTTTTTCTTTAAGTATATTTTATTTGAGTCAATTAAATTGTATATTTGTTTCAAATACAGAAATTATTAATTCAAATAAAAATTATTTCGTTCAAGTAAATATTTATTTGATAAGTATTTATAACTGATTTCAATCAAATAAATATTTTTCCATATAAAATTAGTAAAAAAGAAACTAAAAATTACTAATTTTAATCATTGTCTCAGTTAAATGCAAAATATTCAAAGAGTTTATTTATAAAATTTTAATTTCAAGCTTTCCTTAAAACAAGAAAAAAAAACAGGTGAGACTTTTTTCCACTAAAATGAAACCTTTGCATAAACAATTACAACTTGAGAAAGTAATAAAAGAACGTCAAGTTCTTGTTTTTATCAACACACATACACTTTGTCCCCATTTTGTAAAAGATTTTCTTATTTTATACAAGAAGACAAGATATATATGTATTCGTTCACTAAAAGTTCTTTTATAAGTATCAAACTTTAAAAATGTTTTTCTATCTCTTTCGCCCTTTTTTTGTCAGGAAAAAAAAATTCTTTTTTCTTTTCACACCTCTCGAGCCAAGCGTTAAAATCTCTCTTTGAAAAAAAAAGTTTCCAAGGAAAATTTCATTGAATGATATTACATCTAAAACCGATCAGCAAATAAGTTACAAACAATCGCTTATATGAGAACTTATTGATACACACACGTTTCATTCGCGCAATATATATATCGATAATGCGAGTCTAAATAAAAAAAATAAATTCTCCTCTCGTTCACTAACACAACGATATTTATTTTTTTTTAATGTATCGCTCGATAGCGTGCTTTATTACGTGTAACATCTACGTTCTTCTAAATCGTTTACTTCGCGCTCTTGTCGATTATAATGTGCATTATATGCTTTATGTCCTATATTACAATTCCGCGAGTTAATCTTATGTAAAGACTCCTGACACAGATACCGCTGATAATACACGAAAAAAATAATTATTAATTCTCTCAATAATTAAAAACTAAATTTATAATATTTCAACTGAATTCAAAAGATGCAAATTAAAAAATTTTTATACTATAGCCAAATTCTTGCCAATTGGAAAATACTACAAAATTAAAATATAGCTTATTATTTTTGTTTCCAAACACCGGAATATTGGAAGAAAAAATTAATTATTTAAATTCACAAACTGAAAAAATTTTCTATTTGATTTAAATAATCGATTATACTTGACATTATTAAATATATTTACTTGTAAATAATTATTCTTTGTATCATATATTTATTATTTGTGCCAATTAAATGATATTTGATACCAAAAATTATTGGTATAAATACAATTTATTTGCCTTAAATAAAAATTATTTTATTTGAATAAAAATTATTTTATTTGAATAAAAATTGTTTTTTTTTTTAATAAAAATTATTTTCTTTAAAGAAAAAATTATATTTTATTCAAAAAAAAATTATATTTGATACAAATAAATATTTATTTAATAATAATCAAGTTATCGATTATTTTAATCGAATAAATTTTGTTTCAGTTAATGACTTCAATTTTATTTATTAATTAATAATTTTATTCAATAATAATCCATTGAATTTTTATTGAAAATTTTATAGATTGAATGTAAGACAGTAGTAAGAAAACAATTATTTATTATTATTATTATTATTATTTATTTATTTAAAACAAAAAAATTCGATCAAAACAGTCAAAACACTGACTCTGAAAAAATTTCCAAGATTCTGATCGTCCTCTATTTTCTATTAATACTATATAAAGAGATAATCTTATCTCCCAGGCAAATAAATTCCGTTTATCTATGCTCTCGTCCGTAGAAGTTAGCGTTTTAAATATAAACAGCTTGTTTTTTTCTCGAAAAAAAAAGAAAAATGCAAACCTCAAAAATCATTAACTAAATAAATATAAATAAAATAAAATAAAAAAAAAACTATGTAAATAATTAACAAACAAATTTGTAAAAATAATTCTTTGCAAAATTGAATTAAAAAAAAAAAAAAGAAATTCAACTGGAACTCAATGAACAATATTAATAATTAAAAATATTAAATAAAGAAAAATGTAAAATAATAAAATATATAAAAAATAATATTAATAATAAAAATAGCAATAAAAAAATATTAACAAATAATAAACAATAATAATAATAATAATAATAATAATAACAATAATAATAATAAAATATAATTAAAAGGAAAGATTAATAAATAAATCAGTAAATAAAAAAATTTCAAATTAAAAGAATCTTGAAATAAGCCTAGTTTTAATTTAAACCAAAACTTGTATTTAAAATGATGTAAAATAAAATTTAGATGTTTATAAATCTCAATTTACGAAGAATGTGAAATTCATATTTAAATTTAAAAACCACTGTCTTAAATTCAGAATATTCCTACAGGTTTTACCACATAATTGTTTTAAAGTCAACAAATTAAAAATACTGACATTCAGTATAAAAAATCAGCTTAAAATATCAACAAACACTTTTCTAAAAATATTGCAACTTAAAATAAGACATTATTCCTCTTTTAAAGTAAGATTTTCTTTTAACAATTATAAATAGTCAAATAATTGATAAATTTGTCAATTAACAAATGCAAATGATTATTGCATAAATATTAAATAAATAAATCACAAATTTATGAATAATTTCATAAAATCATTTCATAAGAGAAATAAATAAAATAATTTTCAATTTCTAAACATATAAATAAAATAAAGAAAGAAAATAAATAAAAAATTCTACCTTAATGGTATTTTCCTGATGTGCCCAATTGTCGGATTAATGTCACGATCCTCCTGATTGTTGATAACAACACTATTCTCCTCGGTCTCAGTTCTTCTGATAATATCATAAAGATCCGCAAAATCATCGTGAACTATTGGCTTTTTCTTCTTTTCACCACCTTTCATTTTATTGTCACTGTCACTTTTCATTGACTGCCAAGTGCCTGACACATCACCACCACCAGCACCACCTGATTGTTCCTTACTGACATTCATTCTTTGAAGAAATTTTCTTCGAAAATTATTATAAACAGTATCACGATTTGGATCATCACCAAATTTAACTCGACCATGACTTGATACAAGATGATGACCACTATATCCAAGATCCAATTGAAGATCCATAACAAGAAAAATAGTGAATAAAATTGCAAAAGCACTGAGACCAACAATGAGTCTTTCTCGCATTCTGATAATTTTAACTGCCAACCTCATTGTCTGTCGTTTCTTCAATCTAATTGACTGATTATTATGATGTTTCACTGAATATTTCTTTCGCAATTCCTTTGTTCTTTCCTTGTCCTTAGGACAATTAATTCCTATTTGAACATCTTTTGAATCTCTTCTTGTATTATTGTCACTTTTTGTCAAATTATTCCCACCAATATTCAATGGTCTATTTTGAGATGATTCAAAATTTATTTCCTGATTTTGAATTCTCAATTCTTGCTTCTTGTCACCTGGTGTCCTAAAATTATTCTGATCAGTTGTCTTATGACCAGTGGCGAGTGAATCTTGACAAAGTGATTCCAGTGAAGTTAATATCGCGTTTCCCCCACTTTTGCGACGTTCCTCTACATTTGTGAAATTTGCAAGTCGGCATTTTACGCCAAGAAGCGAAACTTCAGACACGTCGTCCGGCTGTGCGAACGAATCGTTACTGATCCGAGTTGTCTCACTAATGAAAAGACCACTCTTATCTGACCCTTGTTTATCATGAATTTGTTCAAGCCAATGATGGGACCTTTGAACCTGAACCTCGTCTGGTGGCGGTGACGATTTTAGTTTCTTTAATTTCCTATCTTCAACTTCAAAATGACCTTGATCTTCACCGAGGTCAGGAATTGAATCACGGAATTGTCTTCGATTTTTTCTTAATCTCGAATAATTATTAGAGAATTTCAATAAACTCTCTTCGCTTTTTGATTTTTTTTCAAAATTCAAATGTGATGTCTCAAAACTTTTTAAATGTTTCTTTAAAAGATAACGCTCTTGAAGAAGATTAAAATTATCCTCCGATTTTATAATATCGTCAACATCTTCAATAGAAACACTTTGAGATCTTGTATTATCGTCGTCTAAACTTCGTCTTGGTTCAAAATCACTATGATTGTAATTTTGTAATTCCTCATCTGGATCTAAAAAGAATTTTGGTCTTTCTTTTTTTTCTTGATGAAAATTCACTTCTTTCTCTTCGATAAAACTCTCTTCTCTCACAAGACAATTGGAATTTTTTCTTCGTTTCAAAGATTTCTTTCTTCTAAGCGGTGGAACTGGTTTATCGCTACTTTTTGAACTACCAAGACTGTCACTGCTCCATGAAAAATGGAGTTTTTTCTTTAAAAGACTGGGACTTTTTTGAATATTTCTCACCAGTCGTTCACAATTTTCCGTTAAATTATCCTTGGATGTTTTGACAAATCTTTTTAAAAATGAATCATTCCTGTGAATATCCGAGGACTTATCATCAGAAGTTGATATGTACAATTCAGGTGATGTGGAAAATTTTTGTGAATTCTCCTCTTTTGTTTTATTTAATGGACCATTGAATTCGGATTTTTGTTTCTTTTTCGATTTATATTGAAAGCTAAATCGATACAAAAGATTGCCATGAGTCTTGAAAGTTTCATCGTTGTGTTGAATATCGAAGGTAGACGATGAACGTCGAAGATTTTTTGAATTTGATGATTGAGATCTACTCTCGAGACTTGAGTCGTCGCTATCTTCGTATGTCTGGGGGTCGGAGATTGTTGTCGCCACGTTCTGTGTACCATTTGCGAAACATCGCTGTCCATCCAGACTGTTTTTCAAACTGAACAAGACTCGGCTCTTTAGTTGGATTTGTTTTTTGTTTTTTTCAAATTGTCTCTATTTCAAACGATTGGAATATAATTTGTCTTTGGAATGTTTTCAACGAAAAGAAAAATACACAAATCAATCTTTTTCCAATATCACAGAAAGGTTTATAATGCAATTGCAATCAACTTCTTATGTCACCTGAAACAAAAAAAAATTAAATTCTTTTTTAATTGTTTCGAAATAAAATATTGATAATTAATTTTTGTAAAAAAAAAAAATTTATAATTAACTTTTGTAAAAGTAATATTAATTTTTAAATTAAAATTAATTTTCAGAACTATTATTTTTTATTACTAAGGGACAATTACTTTTTAATGTTATTTTACCTGTCAACTTATGGGCTTTTTTTGAATTTTTGTAAAAAAAAAAAAAAAAATATTTTAATTCAGAATCAAGTTGCTTACAAAGAGATTTCCGTTTAAACCTCCCAAACTGAAATAAATTTCGCTTTGTAAAACTGGGTCAAACTTTTCCAATTCTCGTAATAGGAGCTGTTCTCTGCTTCGAGTATACATTTTTTACATGCACGTTTTTTAATCTAACTTCATAAATTGTTTAAACATTTAAACAATTTAATTCGTTTTATACTATTACAGGATATTGTTTCCCTTTTAAAAATAGTAAAATTTGCCATTAAAAATTATATAATAATAAAAAGAAAAATTCTTGTTTTTTTATTATTACGGTTCAATTAAACATTTTCTTTTAAAATAAATTTAAATAAATATTCTATAATCCAGTGTTTAATTAACTATATGAAGTTAAACAAATTATTATAACAGTAAAATAAATCCAAATTGTTTAAATATAACAAATATTTATATTATTATTTAATTACCATGCAATTAAAAATATTAACAATTAAAAAGAAATGTGTTAAAATTGGGTAAAAAGGAAAAAGCAGTAGAAATGGAATCTTGTCTGACTAAAACCATATCGTAACTACTGAAAAAGAATTTCGATACATAACAGATTATGTTATTCTTTAAGTCAATAAAACGCGATTTTTTTTTTACAAATATAAAAATTATAAAATCAAGTTCCATTTTACATTGTATAAATTTTTTTTTCAAATAAATTTTCGAGAAATTTGTTTCAAAATCTTATTTCATAAGAATTTTGTTGAACGTGATTTTTTCAATTTTTTGCAAAGAAAAATAAATTTTCACGCATATTAATATAAATTTTGTAGCAAGATTCTTTTTTTTAACCTTTCATCTCGTAAATAAACATATATATATTTAAAACAAAAATACACTGCATCTGAAAAGCGCGCAAATATCTGACAACAATTTTTTATGGTGATGGATAGTTTTTAGACAAAATTTCATCATGCAAAGGGCCATAAAATTAGTCATGTTTCAAGCTCACACACAGACACCTAAAAAGTTTTCAAACTATATATACAATAGGAATATTGATATAAAAATTCGTGTTTTTTTTTTAAAAAAAAAGCAAACTTTTTAAATCATAATCTAAAAATTTTCAATAATTTTTAGAAACAACAAAAGGCATCAAAATATTAAAAAAAATTTAAAATTGACTTTTATAACATCAATTTAAAATTGTTAATGCGATACTATAGTGAGGGATTTTAGCAAAAATTATTATTAATTAAAAAAACAGTGAACAAAATAATTATTTTAGTCTATAATTTAAAAAAAAGCAATAAAAAATAATAAAAACATTTGTTAATTATTAATTTAGTTTTTGATACAGAAAGCAGTATTTTATAATAAAATTTGAAGTTAAAAAAAAATAGTAAACAAATTTTTCGTTCATTTGAAGTTGAACGTTCAGAATTTCAGAAATATAAAATATTATTATTATTATTATTAATATTTATAGATTGACATTTAGGAAATAATCATGAACCTTCTGTGAATCGATGTCTTGAATTGAAAAGGGAAGATGGTACATTATAATCATATTCTGAGAAATATTAGTGATTATTAAAAAAAATGAGAAATACATTTGGGTCAAGGTGCGTTATATCGAGAGCAACATCAAGATATCATCGTAAAATAGTGGTGACGATAATGGTGTATTTTGATATCATGAAAATGACCATTATATAGTTATCACAAAGTCGCAAATAAAGGTTATACTTCGGGAAAGGATGGCAAGCTCATAAAGGCAGTAAGGGTTGCGCTCCCATCCCCATTGCCATCAAAGAGCTTGCATAATTCAATATCAGTATCGATGCATCCATTTCATAGTATAACGGCCAGAATAAAGATTCGCTTTGCTGCCATTATACCGCACACTAACCGCATCTTTCATACATATATATACATATACTGATAACCGTTCAACTTCCTTCAAGATTAATCACTCGAGTACATTCAAATTGGCACTCTCGTCGAATGATATTGCATCAAGTCAATTATTATTATAGGTACGTGCGCAGGTGTATATGTGCATCAAATACGGTAAAATTACCTTCGAAACACTTCCTCTATAGTTAAATAACCAACTCATCTTTTTATTTATTAAAAATAACCTTCAAACCGTTTTTTATATATTTAATAAAATAACCTTGTAAACTATTTTTTTTCCACTCTCTAAATAATTAGCGAGAATTCATTCACTAATTTATAAATAACATTAACACACTCTCTAAATCTGAATTAGTAACTCACTTTTTGCTTTAGAATTAGTTAAATTTTACTAATTTAGAAGCAAAAAGTGAGTCACTAATTGAAATTAGTAATCATTTTTACTAATTCAGATTTAGAGAGCAGTTAATTAAAAGGCATTAAAATAAGCTGCAACGCTTAATATTTTAATCCAATTTTGCTTATTTTAATTCCAAATTCGATGAAAATAAGAAAAATTGGATTAAAATAATAAGCGTTGCAGCTTATTTTAATGCCTTTTAATTTTCTGTGAAAGCATTTAATATAGAAATTTCCACTAATTTTTTTAGTATAATATTACTATTTGATTTGGTAAAATTTTTTTTACTAAAGTTTTAGTGAAAAATTACTAAAAAAAAACTAGTAAACGGAGAAAAATGAATTTTTTAATCTATGGATAGCTAATTTTGAGTAATTGTAACTCATAATTAACTAACAGAAAATTAAAAGACATTAAAATAAGCTGCAACGCTTATTATTTTAATCTAATTTTGCTTATTTTAATTCATTTTGGTATTAAAATAAGCAAAATTGGATTAAAATAATAAGCGTTGCAACTTATTTTAATATCTTATAATTTTCTCTGCTGTCACAGCAAATATGATAGCTGGTTCCTATCGATTTTACTAATTTCATTTTCTTAATTTTTTAACTTTCTGAATATTTCCGAAAAATAAATTTCTAAATCTATTTATTTTTGCTAATTTTCAATTGATTTTTTATATTCTATATATATGGACATAAACTTTTTGAAATTCAAAGCACAAATGATTTTTTTATTTTTTTATGGACAGAAACTTTTTGAAATTCAAAATTAGAAAATCTATAATAAATTAAATCATCCAGGAGCAATTGTCCTAAAATTTTTGGGGTAATAAATTTAATAATAATAATAATAATAATTTTATAAAATGTCGAATTTCTAATTAACCGGAAATTGAGAAATTTTCCCTAAATCAAATTTTTTATTTAAACAAATTTTTCCCTTTAGCCGTACTTTAAAAAATAAAATTTCCATTACATCAAATTTCTATTTAGCTATATAATTTATTTCTTTTCATTAACCAAGAGAAATATAACCAAATTAAAAAATAATATTTATTAAAAATCTCACTGTCAATTTTATTAAATTTAATTTTGTGTTATTCACTGGTTTTTTTTTTTTTTGCGTAGTTTCTAGCTACACAAAAAAAAAACCTCCGCGTCTTTATTAATTGATTGCCACTTCACGATTTCAGTTATGAATTCAAATGCAATTCAATACAAATCTATTTAATGTTATGTATTCTTCATAAATGACTATATACATTCAATGCTATTTATATAAATAAAATTTAATTGCGCAATTCATATATATCAAGTAGAACTGACGTTGCATTTAATTGCATGAAATGGAGAAATTATTTATTTAAATTCTTTATAATAATTGAATAGTATTTTGTTAAAAATCATAATATGTATATTCATCAAATTTTATTATTCATCTGATTTTACAAAAGTTTTGGTAAAATCGATAATTTTACTAATAGTGATATCGAAGCATAAAGAGAGTAGATAAGAAACAGACTAATAAATTTTGAGTACTTTTCATATATTAGCATAGATTCATATATATATGTATACAGTATACAATACTAATCTGTTTCTAATCTACTAATCGAATTCTCTCTCGATACGTGTACCAAATATATATTATTCAAGTGTATTTACTGTAATGCGATCATTTGTTTAATATAAAAAAAAAAATATTAACAAAAACGTGATTCAGAATAAAAAAAGAAAATCCAATTTTTAAAGATAAAATTAAAACAATAAAAACAAATGAAGACGAAACAGGAACAAGATAAAACAATTGGCGGGAAATATTTAATAAATAAGTTTCACTTCATCACGCACCGATTGTTTTTAGCAAAAATATAAATTTTTCCAAATAAAAGAAAATTCCAAAACATCAAATTCTTTGTTAAATCTCTCCAATATTTTTTTCTCTGTTTTTTACACATCAAAATAAACGAAAAAATATTAATTTTAATAAAAATAAAAAATTAACAAATAAAAAATAATTTAATTTTTTATTATTTAATTATTTTGTTAATTTATTAATTATGAAATATGAACCAATATTTATTAGTAATTTCAAATTTTTTATTTATATTATTAAGTTTTCTTTTTTTACTTCAGTATACTCAAATCGAATTTCTCTTTTTTGAAAACTAGAAAAAAAAACTATATCTTTTCGAATGATGTATTATGATCTATCACATGTTCTTAATGAAAAAAATTATTTCATCACGTGCTTGAAATAAGTAACTAAAGTTTAACATGTGACTTTTGTTGGGATTAAATCATGAAATCTTATATGG